CCGCCCGGCTCCCGACCGGCTCCGTGGGCCCCCGCCGGCCACACACCTGGTCCGGCGCCCACGAAGTCTCAGCGGGCCGCCTCCCGAGATGCACCGCGCGGTACTCTCGCGCGCTCGCTTTCCCACAATGCGCCGCGCGCACCCAGCAGTTCCCGGGACGCACCGCGTTGCAGAAATTTTTGCTCCCGGGGGCCGAGCTGGCAGCGGGCTCCTGTCCTGCCTCCGGCCTTCTGAGCCGTCGCTGTCTTCAGGACGGCTTCTTCCTTAGAAAAATGGGAACCAGCACTTTGGTGCCTCTCATTGTCCTCTTTCCCCACTAACCTGGCTCACTTTCCCAGGAGACTCTTCGCCCATTTTCTAGATCAGGGCCCCGCAACTTTTGGCAAAACACCGTCTGGTTTTGGGATTTGCGGCCGATTCTGTAAGTCATCCCTGCCAGTGTGGCAGGAAAGCGGCCGCAGACAATACATGAATGAGCCTGGCTATGTTCCACCAACATTTTATTTTTAAATATTTAAACTGCATATAATTTTCACCTGTCACAGAATATTATGCTTTTGGTTTTATTATACCATCAAAAAATGTAAAAACCACCCTAGCTCATGGGCCTTACAAACCAAGGCGGTGGGTTGGATTTAGCTGCGGACCTGTCTGCAGAACCAGGTTCCAGGTGAGGAGAGGGCAGTTTAGTGACCGATGCTGCTGCCCCAACAACCATAAAAAGGCAAGATCAAGTGTGAGTCTCTGACCCCAAGGTGGCAGGTGTGGTCAGGGCTGAGAATGCATTCTTTATCTCATTCTTGGTCCAGTTCCATACAGAAATGGCCCCTGGAATCACAAGACCAGGAGACAGGGCCAGGCACCGGGGAGAGGAGAAGGGATGGCTGGCAGTGCTGGCTGGCACTAGTCCGGGAGGGTCCGCTTCCTCTCAGGGCGGGAGTTGGGTCATGTGCAGGTGTAGGATTTCCTCTGCCCGCTTTAGGTACTCTGCTGCCTTCTTCTTAACACCCTCCCGGCGAGCAGGGGATGGGTCACCTGTGGACAGAGAATGGTACCCTTGCTGAAGTACCTTACAGGATGGGAGGAAGGCTGGTCTCACCCCTGATGGTGCACACAGCATCAAGAGGCCTTTGCCCTTCCCCTGAAGTCAGTACTAGTCTCCCCGTTTACGAATAAGAAAACAGCCACCAGAGTTCAAAAAACTGCCCAAGTTAATAGCCAGTCAGTGTGGGGCAAGCCTGTCCCCCAACTGTTTACTTTTTATCTATGCATACAGAACTGGAGTACAGGCCAGAGGTGCAGGGGCAGTGAGAGGACTCACCAGAGACAGAGTGGGGCGCAGAACAGGAGGACTGACTGAAATACACTACGGAGGGGAGCAATGGGCAGGTGAGGAGCGGTCTGCCATGCCATGTGGGTCAGCTCCCTGGCCGGGGATGGAACTCATGCTGTAGTGGCTGTGATAGCTTCTTAGTGCTGCTCTTTAACCCACTGTCACCAAGGAGGGCCCCCCATACTGTTTTTTTACCTGCCCCACCCAACCCTGCACCACCACATGCATAGGCTTGACCCTCCAAGCACAGTTCTACTCACTGGGTGCCCCCTCCAGCAGGATGTGTACCCCGTCCCGGTAGCCCTGCAGAGCTGCGGGGTAGGCGCCGGCCTTCTCATCACGCAGAGCCTGGGTGATGAGCTCTGTGGCATGGCTTAGATAGGCAGGCGCGGGCCCTGCATCCCCCTCCTCTTCCTCCTCCTGCCCTCCTGGCTCCCAAGGCTCCTGGTCCAGCCTCTCGGACTCTGCCTCCATCGCAGCCAGCTCATCGACATGAACAGGACTGGAGCCCGCAGCTTCTGCCATCAGAGCCGGAGTATTCAAGCCAGACTGGCCCTGCCAGCCCCAGAACCCACTGTCCACCAGCATTTCTCTGTTGCCCACAGGGTTACCAACCCACCCCTAGTGGAGGGTTCCTGGGATGCCCTCATGTTGGAGTTGGGGACTCAGGTGTACATGCAACCTGGGGAATTCTGAGAGGGCACTGCAGCTGCCCACCTTGGCAGGACAAGCAGCTGAATAAACTGCAGTATCAGGCCTCGGGGTGGGAGGGCAGAGTTTAGGGGATTTCCCAAGGACAGAGGGGATGGCTCATGGGAACCCCTTGACAGGTTCCTGCCCAAGCAGCTGCCCACAAGAACCGCAGGGGGCTCAGCGGGGCAAGACAGAGTGTTTTGGAGTCGCCTCTCCTCTCTCATCCCCTCTTCCTCTTTGATCCTGGGGGGACTAGAGGGGTGGGGGAGGGGGCACCCCTCACACCACGTCCAGGCCACCAGTCAGGCCTGAGGGGTCAGGGGGTGAGGCTGAAAACCAGATGAGAGACAGAGGTCTCGGCTGAGAGGGCCCTGAAGGAAGAGAACCGAGTGCCTGACACCGGGCAGAAAGCAAAGGGCCCGCCAGGAGGTGGGCGGCAAAACGAGCTTCAAAGACTTGCGGAATCAAACTGGGAGGTTTCACGATTCCCGTCACTGGAACACCCAGCTGCAGTGACAGCTGAGCTCAGAGACTTTCAGCACGAGAAGACCTGGTGCCTCGGTCCGGGCCTGTGGGGTCCTTGGATCTCAGAGCCAGGAGCTCTGGCCCTGGCACCGCTGTGGGAGCCTTCTGTCTCTGGTGAGCCGGGGCCTCCCCTTGGCCCAGAGCTACCGGCCTTCAGGTTCTAATGGAGGGAAGGCCCACCCTCTCGGGGCACGGCCACCCTGCCAGGTGCAGGAGCACAGAGAGGACCCCATCCTGGGAGGCGGCTCATTTTCTTTCTCCCTCTGCTCCCTGTGCAGCAGCAGGGGCCAGGGCCTGGCTGTTTCTAATGCTTGCTCAGGCTCCCAGCGGCCTGCAGGGGGCGCTCTCTGCCAGACACAGGCACCACACAGGCCAGGCCAAGGCTCTGCTAGTGTCGCAGCCCTGCTGGGCCCAGCTCCTTACCTTCCTTGGAGAAGGGGTCAAAGAGGGCGAGCTCAGCCTCGGTGAGGGGGCCTCGAGCAGGGGAACTGGATGCTTCCTCAGTGCTCCCACAGTTAAAGAGCAGGTCCAGGGCCTCCTGGGCAGGGCTGGATGGCGGGGGCTCAGCTGCAGAACAGATCACGGACGCCATACCTGCCCTAAACATTTCTGAGCTTTCAGATGGAGAACACCCTCCCTCAACCTTTGTAGCAAGCATGTGCAGAGGCAGGCCCATCGCTATGGTCTGCGCTCAGATTAGGTAGCTACAGCTGAGTATGATGGGCTGATTCCTCAGCTGCTTGGTGGGAGAGGCGCTGGGACACACCTTGGGCTTTTTACCAAGATCGCCATTTTGGGTCCTCCAGCCCTGGCTCCTCCACATACCCCAAAGTACCTGGCACCTCCAACTCCTCAAGGCCCCTCCTCTCAGCAGGGAGCGGCTGGGGCAACCGGAGATCATCCAAGGGCGGTGTGGGGATGAGAGGGGGTGGCAGGATGTGCAGGTCCCTGGGCACCTCAGAAGGCCTGGTCACCTCCCCACCCTGTGAAAGACATCAGCAAGGGGTCACAGTTTGCAGCCTGGTGGGCAGGTAAGCATCCCAGGTGCTGCGGAAGGAGGGAGCAGGCACACATACCCGGAAGAACTCCTTGAGCTGGGGGCTGTTGTTGAGCGCAGGGATGTCCACCGTGAAGCGAAGCAAGTCCTCAGCCCCCTTTCGCCGCTCCTCAATCACTGAGGCTTCAAACCGGCCTGCACCCCGGGGACAAGGGGAGAGAAACAGTTACCCAGCCCACTCTTGCCCGGCTCATGCCCCAGAGAAGTATAAGCCTCGTTTGTAATTTAAAACTTTCTAACAGCCACATTTAAAGTGCAAAAAGAAACAGGTTGTCATCTATTTTTTATTACATCAGTGTTTTCTCCCCCACCCTCTCCTGGACCCCTTGGCCCTTTCTCTGACTTGCTTCATTGTGCTAATTTATAATTATTTTGCTGTGTCAGTTTATCTGCTGTGGTTCCCTACTTTACTCTTTTATGTGAAAATGTCCAATATTTATCTATCTTTCTGACTTGCTTGTTTCATGTAATTAGCACAGTCTAACCAAAGTGTTCTCACCTGAACACGTAGCCAACACATAAATGAGCTGTTCGCTTTCATGCGGAGTGAGCACCTGACCTAACACAAGGCTTAGTCACACGGGCCGGTCTGGGGCCCGGGGCTGCAGGAGCACTGGCTGGTTCTGCCTGTAGAAGCCAGTCCTCCATCCCCTGGGCCTCTGCATCTTCATCTTGAAAACGGGGCACATGAGGGTGATGAAGGGCCCAGCACACAACAGGGTGAATCAGACGGGACCCTCATTTTCCCCATCTGTAAAATGAGGCCATTTCCCAGCACATCTGGCTGGGTGTCCCGTCCCTGTTCAGTGCTGTCAGGGGAGGTCCCCTGTACCCACCTCCCCTGCATCTCTGCCCTGAAAAGTCCAGGTCAAGCTCACCAAACACCTGGCCGCGGGGGAAGGCGGGGAACTCCTCCAGGCGCCTGAAGAGGTTGCGGTGGGTATAGGCCAGGTCTCCATGCAGCTTTCGGAAGTCGCTATACCGCTTCCAGACCACTACCTAAGGGGGGCAGAGGCTCGTCCCAGACCAGCCACGGTGGGGGGCCCACCCCCCCAGTTCTGCCCCAAGTGTGTGCCCATTGGGGCGCAGCTCCCCCACTCCCCTGCCAGAGAGGAAGAGCAACCAACATCTGCCTGCAGAGTCACCAGCGGTTCCTTCACTATTTCCAGAACTGGTGCCCCCTCCTCCAGGGAACCTCACCTCTTTGATGTCGTCTGGGTCCCTCTTTGAGATGAACTGAGGAGGAAAGGAGAGACCCAGGTGAGACCAGAGTGTGCGCTGACACCTGTCTCCTCGGGACTCCGGGGTGCCCCCACCTCCCAGCCCCCACCAAAGGCCCGGGAAGGCTCGGTGTAACATTGGACACTTTTTCTACGTGCACCTCAGTGTCTCCGTGGGTCAAGTGAGGGGGACCCCTAAAGGCCCATCCAGACTAGAGGGCAAGGCGGAGACTCCCGGTCTTTGAGCTATGCTGAGCTGTTAAAGCCATAGGCAAGTGTCTCCAAAAGGTAAACACTTCAAAGGGCTTTAATGGAACCATACGACAAGCCGGTGAACAAAACTTAGTCTAAGTGACTGGCGAATGAACAACATTTGGGTTGTTAACGTCGACAAATTCGCAGCCCAACGCGCTGACACACAGATGGGCGTGGACACCCACACCTCGCCGGGCCGGCTGTCCAGCCCTTTTAAAAGGACAGCGCCCTCCCACGGCCCCGCCCCCTCACCGCCCAAGAAGTAGACGAAGGCCCTTCCGCTCCCTCCCTTAAAGGGAAAAGTGCGTTTTTGTCGTCTAAAAGGGAGCTTCCAGTGGCGCCTAGCCTTAAGGTAAAACACGGTCCTCTCTCGTTAAAAGGGTAAAGGCGCCCGCTGGGCCCCACCTCACCTGAGCCGTCACTTTGTACTCGGTGTAACCCTTGGGGTGGGTCCGCGGATCCGAGACTGTGTAGTGCCGCAGGAAGTCGTCTTTAGCCTGGCGGGACATCGTCACCGAGCTGGCGCGGAGCTGACCGCCGGCCTCGCTCTCCTCCGAGCTACCCCCGCCCCTCGGGGTGAGCCGCCGCGGGCAGCAGCCTCACTGGGCCTGCGCCCTTCATCCTCCGGCCCAGGGAGCAGGTCGCAAGTGACAGCGCAGGTCTACGGCCAGAGGCGCGGCCTAGGGAGCGTCTAAAAAGTTCTCGTCGTTTTTAAGCGCAAACTGGGGATTCGCGAGCTAGATGGGGGGGATCGCCCAAAGCCCACGTCCCTTATCGCGCATGTCCACACGTCCGCTCCGCTGCTTCCCAGTTCCCCTTTTTCATCTGTCGACTCAACTTTCACTAAGTCCAATCCGTACCAAATGTGTCCAATTTCCTTTTCTCCGCAGCACTGGCTGATCAAGCTTTCTGGAGTGCGGGAAGACAAAAGGGCTCCGGAGAAGCTGACGGTTCTCACCTACTGGAGTGTCCTTCTAGAATGGGGGTGTTTACAAAGGACCCTGACAGCGGGAGCTTCTTTTTTCCTCTGGAGGCTCTGCCCACCTCTGCTTAGCACTGGGTCTTTGCCGCTTCCCGGGGTAGTTCTCTGCTACCGCTGTCCCGCCCACCAGAGAATCGAAAGGTGGGGGTACTCTTCCTGACCCGGTCCCCCGTGGGGCTCTCCTGAGACCTTGGATCTCCGTTGAGGAGCAGAGAGCACACCTGGCAAGGGGCCAGCTTACTCCTGGAGTCAGTGTGTGTGTGTGGGGGGGGGGGGCTGGGCTGCCCAGCCCTGCTGTCCAACCTGGCTGCGGGACCCCCATCAGGATGCCCTCTGGCCCCTGCTTTCTTTCTGAGAAACAGCCTCTCTTCTGAAGGCGGCTGCAGTCTGTCCGGGCAGGCCCTGAGGGCCACCTCCAGGTTATAGAGCTTATCATGGGTGATGTGCTTGAGGCCATTCATGCCACTGTGGCTGGGCTTCCCTCATGAGGGCGCTGTACCTCAGGTCCCCAGAAAGAAACAAAGCCAACTCTCAAATCCGGCTCCTAGAAGCTGGGGGTAGGGGGTGTATCCCTAGGGAAGTCTATGGCAGGAGGCTGGGGGGTGCCCAGCACAGCGCACCCCCTTGGGTGCCCAGCACAGCGCACCCCCTTCACTCTGGACACCCTGGACAGCTCCTGCTCTCCCAAGGCCTCAGGGCAGGCTGTTGCTCCCAGTCTCCTCTGGCCCATCATTCCCTCCCCTCTCCTCCCTTGCCCAGCAGCTCCCAGCTTCCCTTCCCCCTTTGCTCCCCCACCTCTGCAAGCCCTTTCCAATCCAAGTCCATTTAGCCCCTGGCCTTCTCCGGAAGAGACCTGTCAGAAGACAGGGGAGAGGGAGAAGCTCCAGGTGCGCAGCTGCCAGGCCAGCGCCCTCCACCACAGCCCACAGGCTTCTGGCACATGATGCAGACTCCACCACAGGGCACGCGCCGGCCCACAGCCTTTTGCAAGCAGGGTAACCTCGCATGTTCTTGTTTCAAGCCATGAATAATTCACTTGTAAAATCAAGGCCGCTGCTAAGAGCCCTAAGACTTGAACACCGGTGACTCCCCTGGTAGCTCCTTGCAGTTAGCTCAGTGGTGATCAGGATCCTGACTGTGTACACAGTGCTTATCACACACAGGACACCAACCCATGTCCTCATCCCAACCCTGGCAGGTCAGTGCCATCACCTTGCCCCTGGTGGGGAAACTGAGGTAGCAGCTGGTGAGCGTAGAGCTTGGGTTTGGCTCTGGAGCCTCAGTGTCTTCGCTGGGCACAGGGGGGCTGTAGTTTTTACCCAGATGACACTTCACACCCGGAGGTGCTTTGCGGTGCTCTATCCAGCATCCAGTCCCCGCCTGCGGCCCTAAGCGAACCCAGATTTTGTACAGGCCTCTCCGTCTGGGAAGGGACGCTGGGGCGTTTAGGGATATATCAGGAGCTTCTTCCTCCCCTTTTCCTTGGGAAAACCACCCTCATCTCATCAGTCAGGCTAATCCCCATTTCAACCAGGCAAAAGCTGAAAGCAGTTGGGAAGGATGTGGAGGTTGGTGCAAATGCCAGTTCTTCACTTCTTCAACTTCCGAGTTGGTCTCCTTGCTGGTCGCTGGGGCAAGCCCCAGAACCTCCTGGAGGGCCTCATGTGCATGGGGATATTAAGTCTACACTGCTTAGGCCAGTGCAACACAGGACAGTGGAGCTGTCTAAAGAGCCTGTGCAGCGGCAGGCCTGGTCGGAGCGCAGCAGGGTTCTGTGCAGACATCTGTCCGCTGCCTGTGGCGTGGGGGTGGGGGTCACTTGGTCCCTGGCCTAGCCCTGCTCTAGAAATTGTCCCACAGCCTCCAGGGAAGGTCCCTCCCCAGTTCTGCCCTCAGTGAGCTGGCCCTCCTCGCTGGCCACACCTCCCACAGCGTCCTCATTCCCAGCCAGTCCCAAGAGCCCTTCCCTTCATTCCTCTGCAGTGAGATCCCCTCTGCTTGAACCCGTGCAGCCCTGGACAGCTGCACAGGCTGCCCGCTGCACATGGGCTGCTGTGGTGGGCAGTGGGAGCTGAAGTCCAACCAGCAGTGAGCCCTAATGTGGGGTGACGTCCCTTTTTCCAATGCACACCTCTGAGGGTAGCAGCCACTCTGGCCAACTGTGCTCCCTCTTCTATCCAGAACACTGTCCGCTCTGATGTCGCCTCTGGGAAGCCCACCTCAACTCTCGTAGCCCTACCCTGTGGTTCCATCACTCTCTGCCCACCGCTCTGACACAGCAGCAATGAGCGCAACCGTCGTCATCCACTTGCTTCCGTCCCCTGGACTGTGGGTACCGCGTCGTCGCTAAAGCACATGACACAACACAATATCTGACAGGAAATGAGGGCCAGGAACGGTTTATTCTCGCAGCTGAGCAGAGGACAAGGCCACAGCCTCGGTAGCAGCAGAGACAGCCCCCGCCCAGCCCCGCCCTCTCCCCAGGGTCCGGCAGCTGCGAGGGCTCAGCAGCCGGTCAGCAGCCGGCCAGGAGCCAGGGCGGCCGCCCTCCTGCCCAGGAGCTGGCCATGGAGCAGCAGGGGCGGCGACAGTAGCAGCAGCAGGTTATGGAGTGGGGCAGGGAGTGTTAGTGGAACTGGTGGAGGACTCCCATCCCCCCGTGGACAGTGCCTGGTGAACCCTGGGGGTCCTGGATGCCAGGTGGGGTACCCAGAGCACTTCAGTCCGTCGTGAAGATGCGGCTGGAAATGTCATCCAGGAGCCAGTCGATGCCCGGCAGCAGGTTCTCCCCAGTGAAGGCGCTGCAGCCCTGAACACGCCAGTGGTGGCTGCGGATGGAGTCCAGCTCCAGGGTCTGCGGAGCGGGAGGTGCCAATGGGGCCGGTGACCACAGGCTTGCAGCCTGTCCTGGCCGAGAGAAGCCCACACCTCCCTCCAGGTCCTGCGTGGAGCAGCCCCTGCTCCTCTTCCTGGCTCTGCACTAACAAGCCGGCCAGCGCCCTCAGCGAGGGCAGAGCAGCACGGCACCCAGGCGAGCAGGACCCTCTGCGGGAGGCTACAGGCCTCACCCATTGCTCCTGAGGCGCCTGAGCCACGGCGGTGGTGGCTATTTTACTGAAGAGGAGACTGAAGGTCAGAGAGGTGATGCAGCCTGGCTGCAGTCTCACAGTGTGTGACTGGCAAAAGCCAGGTTTTCACTCCATTCTTTCTCATTCTTCTCATTCAAGCCCGAGAGTAACAGTTAATCCTGGCTTGTCTACGTACTAGCTGTGTGACCCTAAGACCTCAGGCAAGTTACCTGACCTAAGCCGAGGTAGGCGAGGAGTTAACTGGTGCACAGGCCTCAGCTCACAGAAGGCAGCTGTGTGGACCACCGGTCCCCTCTGTCTGCGGGCTGGCACCAGGCTGAGTCTTCACTGAGTCTGCAGTGCCCACCTGCCCGCCCGGAGCCTGCACCCGGCAGGCGCTCGCTCATAAATGCTTTTATATAAATCAGCAAAGAAGGGCTTCCCTCTGCTCCGCACCTGCCAAGGCCGGCACTCACCTCTCGGATGGCGTTAGAGGACAGCGCTCCGGGCAGGTCTTGCTTGTTGGCAAAGATGAGGAGGGTCGCTCCAGCCAGGCGCTGGGGGAGAGAATGGAGGAGCGTGGGGGTGGGGGCTCAGAGGGAACCCTGGCCCCGCACACGTGGGATCAGGATCAGCCGGGAAGAGCGGGGTAGGCCCTGTTGAAGGGGGGTGGGGGGAGGCCAAGCATGGGCGTGGCCTTTGGGCTGCTCCTTTGGGGTGGGGGGAGCCCGGGCCAGGATCCTGGTTCCACCCACAGGCACTGCCCTCAGTGTATTTCCTCTGCCTTAGCTTCTGCTGCCATAAAGAGGAAGTACATATTGGACAAGATGACTCCCGCTGACCCAGTTTCCTCTGTGGTCTGTGCCCCTCTGGTGACCTGACAGTCACAAAGAATGTGACCATTCCAGGGGGCCTGGAGATCTGCTGGAAACAACCTTCCCCCTTTCAGGTTCCCAGGCCCTTGAACTGCTCTGCTCCGCCATAGGCCTCCCGCTGTCTGATTCCAGCGCTGCCCACATAAGTGCTTGTGGCTGGTCATTCCGCCGGGAGTCATGTGGGCCTAGCAGTTACAAAGGGCGCCAAGCCGGGTGGGCGCTGGACTGCTGAGCTCTCGCTGGTCCTGCTCTCCATCTAGGAAGCAGCTCCTGTTCCACCCAGCGCCCAGATAGCCACGCCTAGAACAAGCCCGTCAGGACCTCTGTCCCCACAAATCATTATGAGACTTGGCGCTGCCTACTGCACTAAGGCAGGTTGTCCCCGCAAATTATTAACGACTCCCTCTCTCCCTCTCAAGTGTCCTGATTTTCAACTAGAAATGCAGTTAATAACTGGATCAAACCCTGGAACAGAAAAAGGTCATTGGTGGGAAAATGGAGGCAATCCAAATAAAACCTAGAGTTGACAACAGCTAATGCTAGTTTCTCGGTCTTGAAAATCTCCAGCGGTCAGGTACGACGCGACCACCGGGGAGCAGGTGAAAGGCATACAGGTGTTTCTTCACAATCTCTGCAACTTTTCTGTGAATCTAAAAAGGTTTTGCTCCAGAAAATAAATGAGAAGACCATCCTAAATAGAAGCCTACCTTAGCGATGAGAGGTGGAAGTCTCAGTGAAGTCACGTGCCTTGCCTGAGGTCATACAGCAGAGTCTGCCGACTCCTGAGCCCAGCACCTCTGCCTCTGAGTAACCCCCACGCCCCAGGCCAAAGCAAGATGGGGAGACTGAAGCCCGGGGTGAGGAAGCAGCAGCTTTGCAGGGACGGGAACCCAGGTCTCTCTCCACAAGTGTGGACCGCCTGTGCCACTAGGGCCTCCGTACTGGGTGTACAGGGGCTTCTGCTCCCCCAAGGGTGCTGGGCACGTGGTGAGGGTCCAGGGAAGGAACAGAGCCCATCCTAGGTGTCCCCCTGGGGACACAGAACCCTTGGGGAGTCTGCTGATGAAGGTGTCCACGCTTCCACCTACCTGCATGAAGTGTGGCGTTGGATGCTGATGGAAGCCTGGCGACCCCACCCCCACCCCCAGCTCAGTCGGGCCCCCTGCCTACCTCCTCCACCAACAGGCTCTGAAGCTCCCGCTGACAGTCCTGCATGCGTTGGCGGTCAGCACTGTCCACCACCCAGATGAGGCCGTCGGTGCTCTCGAAGTAGTTCCGCCAGTAGGACCGCAGAGACTTCTGGCCACCCACATCCCAGATGTTCAGCTTGAATCTGGCAGGGAGGGGGGTGGCTGGGCTGTCAGCCAGGGCCCTCGCCCTCCTCCCTGCCCTTTTCTGGCTCAGCCCCTCCCCAGGGTCATGCTCACCCACGATGCTCCAGGGTCTTGATGTTGAAGCCCAGTGTTGGGGAGATGGTGTCAATGTCCTCCCCGTTGAACTTCTTGAGGATGGTTGTTTTGCCAGCATTGTCCAAGCCCCTAGGGGGCGCCACGTTAAGGAACAGTCCTTGCATTCTGCAGAGCCGTGACATCCCCCACAGAGCCCCACTTTAAGGGACACATCCATCACCTGCCACCATGTATCCAAACAATGCACGAACCACGCGCTAAATGTGCAGTAGGAACTGAATGTCTCATCCTGACCCTTCATTCTTCTCACACTCTCACCTGAACACCTACTACGTGCCAGGCCCTACTAGGAGACAAAGTCCCCGCCTTGTCCAGATAACACTGGAGCGGAGAGACAGTACATGCAAGTCAGGCCAGTGAGCGAGTCTAGAGCTGCAACACAGGGGCCTTGATGGAGGCCACCAGAGGAGCTTCCCCTCACTTGGCCGTCAGGGAAGGCCTCGCTGAGAGTCTTGAAGTGAGGCAGAAACTACAAGGCACCAGCTCTCCCAAGAACTGGGGGGAAGCAATCTAGCCAGAGGAAACAGCAAAAGCAAGACTTTGGGAAGTCACCTGCACCTGTTTCTGGAATATTCTAAACCCTTTGCTGCTACATGAGTAAGCGGATAAATGGGTGAAGCCCCAGCCCCTACCTCCTCCTTCCTTCCAAGAGGCAAGGAGACTTGTTCCAAGGAGGGGGCCAGGCCCAGGCCTCCGCTGCCGTCCTGCTCACTGACCAGGGGTGAGTGGCCCAAAGCAGTGAAATGGGGTGCCCGGGGCGCCTCTCCACAGACCCAGCCTTAGCCCCTGATCACCTGCTCATGCCTCACACCAGCACACACGCCTCCTTCTCTCCTGGATCGTCTCAGGAGCCAACAAGCTCGCCCAGGTCCTCCTGTCGTCCAAGAAGCAGCAACACCCTCACTTCATCGCCTCGCCCCAGTTACTCCTTTATTTCCTTCCCTTTACAGCAAATCTCAGAATTGTCCCTGTTCACCCCTCTAATGCCTGACCCCAGGAGGCTTTTATCAATGGCCTGGGCAGCCCCTGAGTCCGTCTTCCTGCCCCATCAGCAGAACCTGACCACACCCCTGCCCTTTCCTCCAGCTGGCACCTGCCTCCTCCTCCTCATGACCTCTGCATTCAGATACACCTGGGTTCTGGAACTGTCCACTGTCAGGTAGCAAATCCCCCCTTACCTGGCTGACTGCAAAGGCACTCGTGCCAGCTGCTGGCCCCTCACCGCCTTTGCAGGATCCCCCCACTGTGCCCTCTCTCATCTTCCAGGAACCTGCTCCCAGCTCCCCTTCAGCTCAGCAAATAGCCTTCCAGACCTTTCTTTGCATTACTGCTCCCCTTGCTTAAACAAGTTCCCCAGGACTCTCACCCCGTGACTCAACCGTGGCCTTCTCCACTGACACTATGAATCTTACTTGGTTTTTGCTGACATCTTTCTCCCCCCAGCATTATACCAGGTCCAAGGAGGCAGGGTTTTCTGTTTTGCTGTTTGACCCTAGCCCCTAAGATAGAGTTTAGCACATAGTAGACGCCATGCAAAATTTGGAAGTGAGTTGTTTAAAAAAGACACGATGCGAACATCACTTTTAAGTTATTTGCACACATAAATGTATTCTGGGCCGTGCCAACCTCCTGGATCGAAGTCGCCACGGGGGTGGGGGTGGGGGTGGGGTGGACAGAGGCTACGGATACTCCCTTGCGGGATCCCAAGGTCGGCGGGGGGGCCCTCCGGCCTTCGGGCACCCGGCGCAGGGACAGCGACGGCGCCCCGCAGCGACACCTGCGCGAGGCCCACGCGCGACGACCCGCGGGCCCCGGCGCCCCCCGGACGTGGTCTAGGGGCAAGTTGGGGACTCGGGCCCTGGGCTGGGCCCCCTCCGACCAGGCCGGGGACAGTCGGAGCCGGGGGACAGCTCGGGCCGGACGCACGGCGGGTGGCGCCCCAGTCACCTGCGGGCCCCGCTCCTCCCGACCCTGCGTCGCCGGCCCGTCCACCGCGCCGCCAGCTCGCACCTTTGGCCTAGAGAACGCCCCCCCGCCCCGAGGAGTGGTACGACCGCCGCCGCCCCGCCAGCAGCCGTTGGTTCGGTCCGTGTGCGTGACGCACAATGGGCAGTTGGTACAGGCCGGCCCGCCGCGCGCCCCGCGCCCAGTAGGGGGCGCCTGGCACCGCCCGTCCGCCGGGGCCCCACTACCCTCGCGGCTCAGGTTCCGGGAGGATACAGCATGAGCAGTCGCAGCTCCCGCTCTTTCTGCTTCATCTTCTTCAGAATGGTCAGAAGCCCCATGGTCCCGGTAGCCCCCTCCCGGCCGCCGTTTCTTCCTAGAGCGGGACCCCCCCGGCGGCTCCCATTGGCTGTCACGCCTACTGACAGCACCGCCTATTGGCCGGGCGCTCGGCTGGTTCCGCCCCCTCTCCCACGTGACCGCGAAGCGCCGGGCTGGCCCGCGGGGTGGTCCTCGCGCGGGTCGGGGCTTTGGCGTGGCCCCTCGCCTCCGCGGACTCGGGGGCGGAGGCCGCCACCGCCCGTCCCTAGACACCCAGGGCTCGACCGGGGAGGGAAGCCCGACGTTCCTGGCTGGGATCTTGGTTACGTAGCGAGAACCTGCGAAGGTGTCCACACTCTGGAGGCAGCGCCAGAGCCCAGGGTGTGTCCGTTGGGACGGGGACTGTGCCCTGGACGAGGTGCGCACTGAATTCTCATGACACGCCGGAGCCTGTCGCGCGAAGGACACACCCGCGCGAAGGACTGTGCCGCACGACGTGCCAAAAGAGGCACCTAGTGCCGTGTCTGGCTTAGGGAATGCTGGTTGTCCAATGACTGACTTTAGCCTAGAGTTTGATTCCTTCCCTTAAGCGGGAGTCAAGAAAAGGGGAGGAAACTGGGCCAGGTTGGAAACTTGGAAGGGTGGATTTGGAGCCCTTCCCCCTGCCTATTCAAGGTAAAGGTGATAGGCACTGAAGCCAGGGAAAGAGGCAGCGGACACCAGCTGTAGATACCTACGCGCTGTGTCATGGTTTACAAAGCACTGGGTGAGGTTGCTGGGTGAGGCTTCCTTTGGCGGGTGGGAGCGGTTCAGAGAGTTTAAGGAGCTTGCACGTCAATTAAAGTCAGGGCTGCTGTGTGGTGAAGACTGGAATTAGACTTTTAGTGAGCTTAAATACAGACGTTGATTTACAATGCTGCACAGCTGGAATGGATGGTATACTGCAATATAGCTCAGGAAAATCATAAAACAGTCAAGTGTGCTGTTTTTCTGGGTTTCCCATGGTGTTTGTCTAGAGGAGAGGCCTGTGAACTTGAGCCTCCCGTTCTGCAGAAGGCAGTCGGTGTGGTGGGGGAAGGTGGTGGACAGATGAGGGCTGGACACAACAGGGGTGCCACACTGGACCCCCCTCAGTCAGCACCACTTGCCTTCCCCTAGTGTGGGGTAAATGAAGTCAAGCCAGGCTCTCCCCACCGCTCCCTTCCCCCACCGCTCCGCCGCTGGCCTCCACAGGCAGCACCTGCGGTGCCGGCTGCTCCTAAGTGCGTGCCTGGGGCCACGGGGTGTGCGCGAGGGCAGGTGCACCTGTGGCTGGAAACACGTGGGCCCAGAGAGCATGGGTGTGCCCGTGTGTAAGGGCAGCCACCTGGTCCTGGAAGGTGAGGGGTCAAAGGGTGGCATCTCCTGAGGCGAGCTCTGCAACTGAAGAGAGACTTCAACTATGAGCTGATGAGGTGAGACGACCTGAAACTGAGAGGAACGCCAGAGAGACAGAAGAAAGAATGCAAAGATCAAGGCAGACCGGGAGGCTCAGTGGCTCCCTGAGCCTGGCACGTTGGGCTTCCTGCCTGGTGTGTCTGTGTACCTGGCTCCATGCTTCATATTAAGGGCCTGGAAAACCCCACTGCAGCCTCCCAGACCCCTTTCCCACCTACCTGAGTCCGCACGGAGCCTGCCCACCTGCGCCTGCTCGCACTCGGCCCAGGCGCGCACCAGGAGAAAGTGAGCACGGCGCCCTGTGCCGGCCTGGAAGCCCAACGGCTCATAGAATGAAGCGCCAGACCCCCGAGCCTCCGCCCTGTCTCCTGGAGCCTCCGATGGTGGAGTTCCAGCACATGGATGTGGGCAAGGCAGTTCACGGCCCCACGCTGGGAAGGGATCTGAGCGTGGCAATAGGGTCATCACCGCACCGTGGTGGCGCCACACGGGGCTGGCTGGTGGACTCCAAAGAGCCTTAGGAAGAGTGAGGCGGAACTGTAACATGCCAGCGTGGAGAGACGCCCTTGCTGTGGGCTGTGGATGTGGGGAAATGTTTCAGTCCCTCTTAAATTTAAAAAGTACCAAGCTACTGTGACCCACTAAACAGACTGAGGAATTACTCTAGTGTCTCCCGTCGGTTGAACCATATGAAACCACGCCTGGTTTGTCCTTTTGACCACAGAGCTGATGTTTTCACGTGGCTTACAGCAAAAGTGAACCAAAAGAGGGGCCTCCCTCGAGGTGCAGGGGGTTTAAGCACAGCATTATGAAGCCCTCACCAGCTGCTGCAGCACAAATTCGATCCCGGGCCAGGGAGTGACCCACATGGCATGGCAGCCCTCTCTTGTCTGCCCGCTGCTCCCCTCAGCAGTGGATTTCAGCACACCTTGTTCTGCTCCCCACTCTGTCTCTGGTGAAGCCTCTCACTGCCCCTATGCTTCTGGCCTGTACCCCAGTTCTTGTGTGCATAAATAAATAAATCTTTAAAAAAAAAAAAGAAAACTGAACAGAAAAAACAGAAGCAATCACTGCCTTTGCCCAGAAATAAAGGTAAGCAGCGTGTTACTTCAGGTGCTCTTAGGATCATGTGTCTGTCTCACTAGGCTGACAGCTCCAACAGTCTGAAAGTCATCATTCCACTGTGAAGTCTGGCCTGTCTCCCTGTGTCACCGGGAGCATTTCAGGATTTCCTTTATTGTGCGCTTTGAAATTCTTGTTTAAACGTCAGGCTTACAGCCCTGTCTAGTTCTGGTAGTCGTAGTCCCCCAGGGCCCATCGCAGGGTTACGGTGAATATCAGCTGAGAAAAAAGTCGCAAAAACCTGAAGTAGAAGATCAGAATGTAACTGGGTGTGACTTTAAAAAATTTTGTAAAGATTTATTTATACAAACAAGAGCTAGGGTATAGGCAAGAGTTGTGGGGTGAGAAGATTCATCAGAGACAGATGGGGAGCAGAGCAGGCAGATGCACTGAGCAGATGAAATCCACTGCTGAGGGGAGCAGCGGGGAGACAGGAGAGGGCTGCGCCACGTGGGTCCCTCCCTGGCCGGGGATTGAATTCGTGCTGCAGCGGCTGTGAGAGCTTCATAGTGCTGCGCTTTAACCCGTTGCGCCACCAGGGAGGCCCGGGTATTGTAACTTAAGAAGAGAACTCCAGGTGCCTTGGGAGAAAAGCATGTTGACCAGTGTCGGGGGAAACGCTCTATGGTTTTAGGAGAGACAGCTTCTTGGTCAGCCATTCCTGGAAGACAACTAATGAGCCTTTATTCTAGAACAGCTACAATTAAAGTCAGGGGAGAAGACTGTCTAAATTATAATTTCTGACCATGAAACGTTGGCATGAGGTAACTTGGGTATTTTTATTTATTGGTGTACATAAATATTTTTGCAAGTTTGGTCTAGATGAAATTTCTGAATCTCTTCAAGTATATTGTGCGTATTGGTTGTTTCAAATAAAGTTAAGTTTTGATGAGAAAAAGCCTGGTGACCTATGATGCCAGTTTCATGTTTTGGCTCCCAGGTGCACGGCAGAGGCAGCAGCCGGCACTTGGTGGCAGCATACCCAAGTGTTCACACATGTCCTACCAAATCATAAACGACTTCCCAGGCGGACTTGCAGCCTGAACGCTGCAGTGGCCACTGCCTGTGGACCGCAGCTGTGCCCTGGAGGCGCTCAGGGTCCAAGGGTGGCCTGGCCCTGTGGGCTGCACATCATTCAGGCCACAGCCAGGTGCCTCCAGTGGCCATCCACCGCCCACAAGCCGCCTCTCACAGTGCTCCGCCCAGCTCCTGTCGTGGGAGGGGCCTCGGCATCCTCTCCAGCTTCCAGATGACAGAATGAGCTGTTACTCACCCCCTGCCGCCCTCCCATGGGCACGTGACATCTCGGCCTGTGCAGAGCCTCAGGAGTGGGGAAGGGCCTGAAACCTGAGCTGTCCAGTGGCTGCCTCCACACCCACCCGCCTGCCTGCCAGCCTCCAGAGCCAGGAGTACCCTCCCCCTTCCTGCCACCCCAAGGCTGGGCCAGAACAGGGAGGGGGTGCTGTATCTTCCCCCAGCAACCCTCCAGGCAGGTAGGGCACCCCGGCACCCGGCAGTGCGTGGGAAGCAGCGGTGCTGCTCACCGCACTCTGCAGCCCCTCGAAGCTCCCCGGGGTAGAGGCACCTTTTGCGATGTGCTCCAAGGCGCAAAGCCCTCCGGGGGTGCTCCGGTGTCTCCCAGAGTTGGAGCCAACATCAGGGCCCTGCAAGGCCCTGCCCCTTCCCCTGGCGCCAGCGCCCGCTCCCCAACACCCACCTCCCATCACCGGCACCTCCCTCTTCACGTCTCGGCACAAGTGTCTCAAAAGTCTTGTTCAGGGGTCTCAGTGAGGCCCCCCAGACCACCCTACTTTAACTTCAGGTGCTTCATCCCACACTGGGCCTGTACTCAAATCCTTTCCTTACCCCACCCCGCACTGAGGCCTGCAGGGGTCGCTCAACTCCCTGAGGTTGTGGCGATGCCCCCACCCCACCCCACCCAGAGGCTCTGCGCCAGCAGGGCTTGGGCCTTTCCTTTTCTGTGACCCAGCAGAGGTGACCGGCCACATTCTCACTGCACAGGTAGCCAGACACCTGCTGCCCTCCTGACTGCCATCCTGGTCTGACTCGAGACTGGAGTCTGGCGGTAGGGGGCTGCCCTGAACCCTGCTCTCCCCGCCCGGCCCCAGCCTCTCCCTGCTCAGGAGCCTGGTGGGGGACCCCAGGGAGCCCCAGCTACGCGGCAGCTTCCTGCCGCAGCAGCTGTGCCCTCGCTGTCTGAGGCTGCCCCACGGCTCCCCGGCAGGGTGACTCCAGTGCAGGAGGCTCTGTCTCCTCCCCAGCCTCGGTCTAGTGCCCTCCCCTGGTTCAGCCTCAGTTTCCCCAGCTGTAAAGCACGGAGGTTGGGTGGATGAGGTGGATTATGTCATCCTGGTTGCCAACTCACTTGTAAATTCCTAGGTGATAAGATCACTCGGGTATCTCCTCACACCTGGTCTTTGACCCCGTGCAGACTGACCGGAAAGCATTGTCATTTCCTGGGTGATAGGTGTGCCTTTGTTCTAATGAG